CACTTGGCCTTAGATATCTGCTTCTAACTTAGCCAGTGAAACTTACTTTCCCCTTCCTTTGCTCCCCACCAAATATTATCTATCATTCTCTCGATCTCCTTGCAACACCCCTCTGACATTCTATAAAAGCTCATGATGTAGTTGGAGATTTCCTAAGCTACCACTTTCATAAGAACTTCTCTCCTTGCACCTGGAATTGCTTTCTTCTTCCATCATTTTAGCTTTTTTCAGAAATGATCCATTATGGAAGCAAAAACCTCCTTCTTGGACCTGCTAAACAAAATATGGAGGCTCGGGTATCTGGTGTGGCTGCTTGCAGCCTTATTACACATTCTATTACATACATCATGTTTAGCTTCTTCAGAATATTTCTATTGAAAGACGCCTCCGACTTCACAAGATTAACCCTTTGATCAGAGCCCTTTTGGTAAGCATCCAGAACCCACATGATACTATTACTATCAGCCTCTTAAGGCGTGGAACGAGTAAAAAACATATTATCATTTGCAAAGAAAAAATGGGAGATCAAAGATGCCTTATTATCCACCCTGATGCCATGGATGTTCTTCTTTTGAACCTCAATATAGAGTAAACCTAACAACACATTTGCACGTAGTATGAAAATATAAGGGGATAATGGATCCCATTGTTATAAGCCACACTCAAGGGAGAAATACTTGCAATGATCACCATTGATAAGGATGCCATATGAAATTGTCATGATGCACCTCATTATGGTTTTGACTAGCTTGATTAGGAAACCCATTTTGAGGAGCATGATATTGACAAAATCCCATTCAATTATGTCATACGGTTTTGACATATCCAACTTCAGAGCCATTGTCTCATGTTTCCTTTTCACCTTCTTTTTCATCCAATGGAAGCATTTCATGGCTATAAGACTATTATCTATGATCGTCATACCTTAAAAAAATGCATTTTGTTCTTCATCAACAATATCAGGGAGGATTGCCTTTAGCCTGTTTGCGTTGTCTTTGTAACAATTTTCATTGTCAAGTTACACAGACTATATCCTTTAGGTTTTGATGATAACAAAACATTTAAAGAATAATTGGAATTTCTAACATTTGTTCTAAGTTTGCAGGAATATAATCATTAAGAACAGATGAATAAATGCTTGAGGAATCTACATCAGAAGATTATACTCTGGCTCTAAAGATCACTTTTGAAGACTCTGCCTCTGATGGAGATCCAAACCTTGTAGAACTCAAATCTGAATAAAGTTAGCCTTTGGTGACCCAGACTCTGAAGCTTCAGAAGCCAAGAAGCAGACTATGAAGTGATCAGCCTCTAAAGAGTGAAGTCTGAAGAAAGTCAACCTTTGAAGCAGAAGCTCTTCAACTGAAGCAACTCTAACAAAATTAAAACCTTTTGATCACGTGAAGACTTAAGGAAAATCTCTTCCTTAGTGTTTGAGCTTCAACAGATAATTCGTCTTGTAGAAAAGTGCATTGTTGATGTGTTTAATCAAGTACAAAGCTATTTGATGAAAGTGTATAATGTCTCATTTTCTCCTCTCTATAAAATGAGTTGCAGATTCGAAGAAGAAGACTACCATGCACTAATGCAGTTCTGCTACAGACTTTAAACATTGACATTTAAAGAGAAACTACTATGTCATATTTGTTAGACTTAGAACATTTAACACTTGTATATTTTAAAAGTTCTTAAGTCTTATAGTCTTTCTAAGTTGTATTCTGTCTACACCTCTTATTGCATACCAAGTGTAGTTGTTATCCAAAATTCTTAACAGTTTGTTTAGATTCAGAAGTCTCAAACTTGTGCGTTTAAGCAAGGAAGTCTTTAGCTTAAGTGCTAGATCAAAGAAGTCTTGAGCTTGTGTGTTTGAGCTAAGAACTCTTAGACTTGTGTGTTTGAGCAAGGAAGTCTTATACTTGTGTGTGTAAGCAAATGAAGTCTCTTGCTTGTGGGCTTGAGCATTTTTAATCAATTTGGTTATAATGGAAATACCTTGGAAGTACAAGGGGACTAGATTACTCTCAGGTTGTGCGAGAAACCAGGATAACGACTTATGTCTTATGCTTTTACTTTAGTTGCTTCTGTACTTAACTATTCCGTTGTTGTTAACTCTGATCTTCCAAGTCAAATTTTGGTTTAAAATCTGATAAGGATCTCCAGAAACTATCCATGCACTTCTTAGTTAGACTCTGAACTAAGTGTTCAGAATTTGCTTAAAAGTCTTCAGAAGTAGAAGTTGAAAAAACTTAAGAAGACAAAGCTAACTCAATTCAACCTCTCTTCTTATGTTTTTCTCAACTTTAAGATCTTCATATTTTTCCCCCTAAAGTAGATATTAACTATAGTAAGATCAAAAGTTGGCGAAAACTCCATGATGAATTTACCCCATGCTTTTACCTCATAAAGACCAAACCTCCACGAACGCCCTTAAAACCTCTTGATATGCTTCATACATGTCTATTTAGATCCCTTCCTAGAAAAATCTTCTGTCATTAGGATATATTATGAAGTAAGCCTTCTAAATTCTCACAAAGTTTTACTATAAACTGTTCTTCTAACCCAACCCAAGTTGCGTAAGCACTAATAACATTGAAGGTGTTTTGTTCAATTATAAATTTCAGGGCTAAAGTCTGATGTCTTACTTTTTTCACAACTGTAACATGTTTCTTCTACTCACTGTCTATGATCATTCCCACCTCATTTCTCGACCTAACTTTGCCAATGCACCAAAGTTTAAAATCTGAGCTATCTAATTTTTTCTCCTTTTCACCAATCCATTTAATTTCTTGTAGACACATATAATTGATCTTTTTCCTAACCGCATTGTGTATTATTTCCATAGATTTTTTAATAAATGTGTTTATATTCGTTCTAAAGCGAAGCGAATCCTAATTTTACAAAATAACTTTTTTAACCACACCCATTCACAAACTCTTGCTTATTTTTTTAGTGCATTCATACGGAGATACAACAACTATTACTCCTATAACATATTGTTTTTAAACAACGACCTAATATTCTCAGTAAAAAGATTATTTTCTTAATGTTTTTATTGTATATTGTATTATATCTTTTGTCGCTCATTCCATTATCACTTTTCAACTCTAGCTTATAATTGTTTATTTTAATAGTAGTAAAAAGCACAATATCTATAAAATATATGGTTTGATTGGTCAAATCACTTTTAAAATAAAGGCATCAAAAACATTGAATTAGCTGAGAAAAAATGTTTCAAAAGCGTTTGGACTAATGTACTTAACCCGAAAAACGCGTATGAGTTATAACTTTTCAACCTGCTTCCCTAATAAAAATATTTATTTAATTATGTATATATAAATTTATTTCTTTATTCGATATTTATTAATTTTTTATATCTCGTAAAAAACTATTTGATAATTTATCCTCCAATAAAAAGAATTTATAACTGATCATTTTTGTCTATTTGTTTGATGATAACAATAGCAAGCCCAGAAAATAAAATAGAGAAATTTAATTGGAGGGTATCAAATTCATACTCATTTCTCACTGTTCAGAAAGAGAGAGAACACACCTCCGAAATTGAAGGGGGCGAAAATTTGTATGCTTCGTTGGATTTCCTAGATCTCATCTTTTCTGGGTATGTCGTCACTCTTTTTATTCTCTCTCTCGATTTTTGAAATTTTTGAATTTTTGGTGACCCTTTTGACATCTGTACTTTGAGCTTCATCTTCATGATGCTAATGTCTCAGCTTCAGTCTCAAGTTTGTTTTTTTAGGCTTTCACTTCTGTTTTTATGTTGTTGTTGTCAAGTTATATTTTGGTCATGAGAATTTGGGAATTCTTCAGAGTTAGTCTCAAAGGTGTAAACTTTTCACCTCTTGGTGCTATGGTGGAGGTTTTACTGTTTTTTTTTTCTTCCTTTCTTTCTGTTGTGGGGCTTAAATAAATCCCAATTGCTGTTATTATTGCATTTTTTTATTGTAGTTGTTTGAGGCATGATGAGTATTATGAGCCTTTTCTTCCATGTAGTTGATAGTTTGATTTTACCTATATTTTACATGGTATCTTAGTGGTTTATAAAGAAGTAATCTGATTCTATTTCTGGTTGTCAACTCCATTTTTTAGGGTTTGGGGGCTGAGGGTTGTCTGTGCTAGAGGAGGAATAGTATTATAGTACCTAGGCAAATGGTAATTTAGTTATACGGCAGTAATTATATGATATTTGAAGGGAGCTTTATAGATATTTTGCTATATGGGTCCGAAATCTTTGCTGGCGCTACCTTGTTTATTATCTTGTGTTTAAATATTGAATTGAGTTCAAACTTTCTGTTGCTCCACATTATAATCATGTCATTTACTGATTCTAATTGCAGAAAAAATCTAAAATTCTACAAAATTAGCTTAATTAAATAATGTCATTACTTGTGGGTTATGTATATGAATGCTTATACGTTTTACTTTTGCCAAATGAAGCTTTACCTTGTTCTAAATTGACCGAGTTTAAGCTTCTTAGACATGGTATTTGTGTGTCTATTTCACGAGGCTTGACTTTTTTTTAGACGCACCTTATGAAAGAAATGAAGGAAGAAAGAAAGATGCTTTAGATAGAGAAGAATTCTATTCTATTTACTAATATTAAAGTTATGATCCATTGTGAAATGTGTCATCTTAGAATTATTTAGATTCCTGCATGATATTTGGTTTCACCTCCATATACTCTTTATTCAAGACTGTGATTTTGCACACACGGGTTCAGTGATACTAGTTTGCAAGGAAACTATGAATGCTGGGTTTTGCTGTTGCGGAAAGTCTTTGGTGTGTTAATCAATTTAATTGCGATAAAATGAACCATTGGTTTTCAGGAATAATTATGAGAGTTGAGCTGATTCTGATTAAGAATTGAAATCAGAACATGTTGATATTTCAAATATGATATGCAATTAAGTTAGAGATGCTTGTATTAATTTCCATGTTATTAAAATTCTCTTCACTTTTTTTATGTGCTGTCAGATAAATGACAAATGTATCATCCAAAGAATGTTCCTAATTCGAGTTTAATTGGAAGCAATTCATTAGTTCATGATCAGAACATAGATTGTGGTAGGAGCACAATGGATCCAGGTAGTGGAGGAAACAGTCTTGCCAACAACTCAAAACAACGTTTGCGCTGGACACATGAGCTACATGAACGCTTTGTTGATGCTGTGGCTCAACTTGGCGGGCCTGATCGTGAGTATTTCTCCCCTTTTCGGTTATCTGAAAATGTATAGTGTAGAATGGTTACATATGTGAATCAAATGTCTAATACTTTTGTTGGCTCGATATCCTAATTTGGACGAAGAAATTATCAAGCTTGAACTTTCCTTATCATATAACAGTTTTTTAAATCCCTAAATTTTTATTTCCCTAGGTGCCACACCTAAAGGTGTTCTCAGAGTTATGGGTGTACAAGGCTTAACCATTTACCATGTTAAGAGCCATTTGCAGGTAATGTGCGCTTTAGAGCCTCTTAACTTGATTTCCATTATTCTCATTTTTTTAGTATTCATTCTACTTTTATGCTGCATACAGAAATACCGACTAGCAAAATACTTACCTGACTCCTCGTCCGATGGTAGGTCAATCAGTTTTTCTTTTTTTTACACTTAGGCCTTATTGATTTTTTGTTCTTAGTCCATTTAAAGTATTAAACTTCCTTTTCACTTGATTTCACCGTTAAATTTGCTGACAACTTTTGAACTGTCAATAGAAGGGAAAAAAGCCGACAAGAAAGAAACCGGGGATATGCTTTCCAGTCTAGATGGTTCATCGTGAGTATATCTTCCTTTTTTTGCTTTTGGGTTATCATGATTATACAAGGAAGCTTATTGATGATAAAAGTTTCTGTTTTTGTTAGGCATTCACAGCCTCAAAACCTGTTAGAAAAAATCTATAACTTTTGTATCAAAGGATCTTGATTGTTTTGGTGAGTTCTTGATGGTATAAATAAATAACTAATGTTGAATGTTTTCAGGGGAATGCAAATTAATGAAGCACTAAAGCTTCAAATGGAGGTGCAGAAGCGTCTACATGAACAATTAGAGGTATACCTCCTTGTCGAACCGATCTGTCAACAATATATTATGTCAGGCTTGTAACTGATTTTTTATTCATTGCAAAACAGGTGCAGAGACAGCTGCAGTTAAGGATAGAAGCTCAAGGAAAATATTTGAAAAAGATAATCGAAGAGCAACAGCGACTCAGCGGGGTTCTTTCAGAAGCACCCGGCTCTGGTATTGCAGCACCAACTCCAGGAGATATGTGCCAACAAGAACTTGACAATAAGACTGAACCAGCAACCCCCGACCCAGAAAAAGCTGCTAAAGATCACGCACCAGCAAAGAGTCTTTCAGTCGAATCTTTTTCATCTCACCACGAACCGATGACGCCAGATTCCGGTTGCCAAGTCGGTTCTCCTTCTGACAGTCCTAATGGCGAGAGATCAACTAAAAAGCAACGAGTAAGTGTGGAAGGAGAGTATTCAAATCCAGACATGATGCTTCCACATCAGATACTGGAGTCAAGCATGCCGTCATACCAGCAACCTGTTTTCCTTAGCCGAGATCACTTTGATTCTGCTTTAGGTATGTCTACAAGAAGTGGCGAGGAATTGGACAAGCTTGGTGGTGGCAGGAATATGTGATTTGGTGGTGTAAGGATATGCAGTATATCTTAGTTTGTGTTATATGTATTACTCTTAGTTGATGGAGGAACTTGTTCTTCATAGATTTTCAAATTTTAGTTTTCAGTTGAATTCTAAATACACAGCCTTTAATTTAATTATTTTAGAGAATTGATTTGAATTGGGTTAGTAGAAAGGTTATTGTCATATTCTATACTTTCAAAATACTCATTTTCAATACTATACTTTCTCTTGAAAATTAAGGCTATGTTTGGTAAAAAGAAAGTAGATAATTGACAAGTTAATTTATAGTGGATTGGAGGATGCATTAGAAACAAAAAGCGATCATTTGCCAGAAAGAGTAATCAATAATTTGCACATAAAAACATGTAGAATATTTCCTAGAAAAGAATCAGGGTACATACAAGTTTTTCTTTTTTGACAAAGAATCAAGCTACATATACAAATTGAATTTCATGGATTGCCTTAAAATTGTATTGTATTATTACATCGATATTGCGAAAACAGTAATGTTAGACGAAGATCTCGCAACAGCAATCAAGAGGATCTGTGTCTTCGATGGGCAGATCCCTTCAAAATGCAGAGCCGCAGGCGTCGACTAAAGGACTCCAACTTCTCTAACCTGTCTGGTTTCAGCTTCTTTCCGTCTGTTTCGGTTTTCTTCTTCTTTTGATTCTTTTCGCCTTCTTTTTGTTCTTCCAATGTCTCTCTCATACTTCCCAAAGGTGTTGCAAATACCTCAAAATCATTATCAGCACCCAAGCTTTCTCTTGTTGAGCCACAAGATGAGAAATAATCTTCAGTTGGAGAATTTTGCTCATCCTGCAGAATCATCAAAAGTATTTTCAGGCCTTACAGATCAACGTGTTAAACCACTAATGATGTTGTTAACGAACAATTAGCACATAAAACCGGCACGCGGATAACAAACAGCTTTTCAGAGATGGTACTTAATAAAATCACCTTTGAATCTACAGGTTCACCACAGCCATGTGTTGTTTCTTCTCTAATCACAGACTCCTGCATCACAAGCAATTCACAAATTAAACAAAAAAGCTATGGACTGATTGAAGAGTTGTCTGATTCTAACAGTCATTGAGCGATTCTTTAAAGAATTTCACTTACTGAGGACAGGATCGAATTTGAAATGGTTGTAGAAGTAGAAGATGAACTAGCAGAATCAATAGTCGAAGACCGTAAACTAGAGATTATATCATATAATACGTCCTAGAAAGATGCTAAGAACAAGTTAGTTTCTGTTATTCAACTAAAACTCACATGATAAAAGCCGAATTACCTCATCCACAGTAGAGTCAACTCTTGTATCCCTCATACTGTAATATGTCTCAAATCTACGGGATTTAGGAATGTGAGGAGGGCGGAGGACATTGTAGAAAAAAATACAAACTGAATCGTAGAAGATTTGTGGTCGAGTAGAGTTGTGATCACCCTCAAATTTTATGGTATTTTTATCTCCCTACAAGTTTTGAGGCCAAAGACGTTTTGTTTACGTGAAAAGAGTGCAAAAACTGCAAATTGCTTAAGAAACAATACATCAAATGTTTGAAATAGTACCGCATAGGATTCAGAGATGAGATCAGAATGGTGAGGCTGAATAAAATCGTCGTCGTTAGCATGTCCAAATAAAACAGGAAAGGATATCTTCGGTGCTGCCTGTTACCACAACGAGAATGGTACGTTCTAATCATAATTCTAAAAAAGAAAATGTAGAATTAAGGCTAACAATCCATACCTGCAAACAGTTGAGGTTCATAATATCAAACTTTGCTTTCTTCTCAATAACCCGCCGTATGTATTGTACAACCATTTTAAGCTAACAATGAACCAAACACAAACAAAATATCAGAATTTGACCAAACTAAAGAATCACTTCTGCATATATATTCAGATAGAAGTAGGAAGAGAGAGGGAGGGAGAGATTATTACGGTGAACTTCGGAAGTCGAATTTTATAGACATCAACAAGCTCCATCATCAAGCCATATAAGTTTGAAAAGGCGCTATCCAACACCATTCCAGCAATAGAAGGGTCTTCAGCTCCATAAAGAAGGCTATATCATATCAAAGCAAAATGAGAAGTCAATTACACATGAGAATCTCGCATGCAGGTGGCTCATCCTTTAAGTCTTAGGTTTAGAAACCTCTTTGGAGCCATATAAACTTTTACTTTCTATCTATTCATGTGTATATGTATGCGCGTGTATATCAGTTTCTTTTCTCTCTTCTTTCAATCTCTCTAAAAAGTAAAAGTAAACAAGTTGTTAGAAGATGTATACCAAGTGACAGCACCCATTGATCGTCCCCAGAGACCTATACGAGATACTTGTTTGTTCTCTCTTAAATACGACACCACCATCTTGAGGTCTTCTTTCTGTGATATAAAAAGAGAGAAGCAAAAAGAGTTTACATGATAAAAAAAGTAACCGAAAATTTAACTTAAACTTGAGAAGCATATTACACACGTAAGCATGCCAGTTTATGAATGCGTTGAATTGTCCGTTCATGAAAGATGTAATATGTGAAACTGAAGAGAAAACTTACTTCATGCCAACCAAGGCTAACATGGTCACCATCCGATAAGCCTGATCCCGAGAAGTCAAGCGTGAAAACGGTAATATTTGATGGAAGAAGTGTCACAGCAGCTTCATTGGCATCTGCCCTACATCCACTGCATAATTGAACGTATATACGAACATGAAACATTGATACAGAGAAGAATAGAGACTCTAAAGAGAAGCAATAGCAGCACGCACAGAAAATGGAATACCTATTTCCATGGCAATATACAACACAAGGAAGAGAAATATCTTCTGGAACAGACAAAGGGAGATAATGACTACACTGCAAAGTATATCCTCTAGCATTCTTGAGCTGCAAGGTTTTATTGAAACTAATAAATTTTAACCGTGAAGTAACTTTCAAAAATGATCAATCTGAATCGTAGTATCAAACAAAACATGTCCATTCTTGCCTCCAAATCCTTCCTTTGGTATTTTTTTCCTGCAATGATGAATTCCTTTTCCCATAGGTACTGATCTGGATTATACTGAGCCCTGTATATGTGACATAGTACATACACCGAAACTGTAACTCGATTGAAATTTGAACACAATAAACCTTAACATAAATGAAAGAATAAATCATCAATTTAGTCTCTAACCTGGGAGGCCGAATAATGAAATTGACGAATTGATCAATCATCTTTCTTGTACATGTACGTCTCTCGTCTCTCAGAGTAGCTCCGCTTGACTGGAATACAAGTAGAGCGGAGTCTCTGAGAAGATCACTCAATTATCTTCCATTTCCCGACGAACTGCACACTAATCTCAAATCCAAGTTCTCCCAGTATAGGAAGAACCTTACTCTACCTTAACAATTTGAAAGCAGCACATCAATTAAGCACAACCATATTCCAACACAAGCTACTAATGTCCTATTGTCCTATTCCTGTATGAAACAAACAACACCATAAAAAAGATGAAATTTTGAATCAATTGGCGCAAAGTGTGAAACAATGGACAAGGATCTAGCTGGTCCAAAGTAAAAGGAAAAACAACAACAAAGTAAAAGCATTCCTAAATCAAGTCCCCAAAATTTTGCAAAAGCTACCTCCTAAAGAAAAAACCATATAATCCCTAAAAGAAAAATTCAAACTTGGGTTAAAGGGTACATGTGAATCCAATGAAACAGTTCCAAATGAGAGAATAAGAAAAACAGAAACAAAAAATATTGTAGGAAATTATAAAGCTTACAAAACAAGAATGTGGTGTAAACAAGAAAATATACATGATCCCAAATTCAAAACAACGCATGAATAACACAATGCACATTCAGAAACAAGAGAAAAGCATGTATATATTATAACAATAATAAATAAAAATACAAGAGAAAGAAATGAAAAGTAAGCAAATATACCGAAATGAAGAAGAAACCCAGAAATGATTTTTCTGAAGAATCGCTTTCTTTTTTCTTTTGAAATTTTACAGAGGAAAGATGAATAATCGGAGAGGAAAGAAAGGGAGACACAACACAAAACACCACCTCAAGCAACCAGGTGGTGTTTGTTTTCCTTCCAATTTGCTGTTTCTATTGTTTTCTATTTGTCTGTTGTTGTTTTTTGGTTCTTAATAAATTTCTATAACAGCATAGCACGTTCATTTTGTGTGTGTGTGGATTTTGGATTTTTAATTCATGTTAAAAAAATAGTCATGTTGAGATTTTGAATCATTATTTTAAGATTTAAATTTGTTCGTGGACTTCATAGATATTTTAAGATTTAAAAATATAACCACATTCAAGTATAGTCATTGTTTTTCCATATGTATCTTGTAAGTTTTTGACATGCCACTACAAGTGTAGTATGACAAAAAATAACTTTTTTTTACCAGTTAGTGAGATTCTAATCCATGTCTTCTTCATAAAAAATAAAAAGAAGTCTCTTTATTAACGAAATCAATATATATAAACTATCTAATTTAATTAACGCTTTATTAATTCTTTGTCAAGATAATTCTGTGAATTTTTGTTTATTATATACAATATATAAAAATTCTATAAATAGAGAATTTTTTCAAAATATTTTTTATTTGCTATTATCACATTAGTATAATTTATTTTAAATGGTCGTAATTAGGGGTGTTCAAATTTAAACCAATTCAAATAAAAATTATAAACTGAAAGAAAAAGATCAAAAATCTCAAAAAAATAAAAAATTATTGGATGTGTTTGGATGTCATTTTGTAAAAACAGCACGGTTCGAATCATATTTTGAATTGATTTTTCAAAACCAATCCAAACCAAACCGAACCGATCCGCATGTATATATATTTATACTTATATATTTTTTACTTTGAAGTGTTAGCAATCTTTCATGCTTTAATAACCACATGAATGTCTTCACTCTTTCTGGTGTATGCACTACTACGAAAAAAGTATTTAACAACGGTTGGAAAAGATATATAACAACGCAGGATCAAGTGTTGTTATGTAGCGTGTCGTTGTATATGCGATACTTACAATCACGGTCTTGAGACCGTTGTTGTATTCTAGAAAGCGCGCGCCATATCACAACAGTTAGTTAATTCAACCGTTGTGATAGAATCTGGCCCGTGTTTAATATCACAACAGTTAGTTAATCCAACCGCTGTCAAAACTTCCTCTGTTTTAAATATGCAATTATTTGCATTTCAAATTCTTCTCATGTTTTATCCTGTAACTATTATAACCATATCAGAGAATTTACAACAACATGTATTTTTGTTAACCATGCATAAAGAGCATTAAAAACAGCTAACATTGTGCATTAAAAACCTAAATTAATATTTACATCAAACACAATATGTTTAAGTCAAAAGTAATATTCGCATCATCAATACAGAAAATAAGTCATTAGCACATCTCAATAAATCAATCTGCAGGAACCTTAAGTACATTGTGGATATACGCCCAACGTTTACGAAGATCTACAAAATCCTCAACGGGGAATGGGGTTTCGTTGTTAAACATCTACATAAGAAAGAGCAAAAAATTGAATATCATGCATGATAATAATTCAATACTCAACTTATATATTAATATATGTAAATATTTTATGACATATATACCTTATCCCATGAATCAACAATGCCGACAAGGACAATGTTTAACATGTGTTTCATGACATAGTACCCACACTCGTAAGTCCCAGATTGTCTCCTCGTCTACAAATTTAAGCAATAATTACATGAATATAACCACACATGAATGTAAATGAAAGAAGCCGGTAATCGGGCCACTCACTTTAGAAAAGATCGATGATGACTTTCTTCTAACATTGTTCATCATATTCACTTGCTCCACAACACTGTACATTGAAAATGAATTAAATATATTACATGATAAACTAATTACAATGTCAAAGAAAATGAATTAAACATACACTTATGAATTAATAATCTCTTTTATTTTGTTTTCGAGTGGATCATTCAAGGAACACATTACAGTTACCTTATTCGTCTTAAATGATATGATGATCAATTATCAATGACTACTGAATAAACATGAGAATATATATCACTAGTGTTTGGTAAAACAAAACTAAATATAGAATACATAAATATCAATTACAAAAAATACTTACGAACAGAAAAATGGTGCTAAGTAACATTCTTTTCCTCCCTCATTTAACCATTTTTTCAAGTAATCTCGAATGTCTTTTGGTTGATTAAACGCCCATCGAATAAAAAGCGGATCCAAGATTCCATAAATACTCGATTTATTTAATTCTATATAAACACGGTGAATGTACCTAAATGGTTAAAGAAAATGAATAAATTAAGGGAGGAAATACAAAAAATGATAATGTTCTATAATGACATGTATATTCAACGATATACTTATGTGCACCAAACTTGCAATATTCCTACGTCCAACCACTTATATCCACTGAAAAAATCTCTTACATCATCAAGACTGTAATAGAATAACTCCAAATATGAACAATGCTCTAGCGGGAGAGGTTGCGTATCATTTATCACCGCAAGTTCAAGTATAGCATGGTGATTTCATTTTCTTTAGGGTCCAATATCTCATTGTGATCATCTGGAGGGGGAGAGACTGAACAATTACTTCCTTTTGTAGAAGCACGACGTACAACACTTCTACTTAGAGTTTGATCATCATCATCATCACCATCAACATAACGGTGATCTTCATTTGTACGTTGTTTGAGGTTTTCACTTAATCTCTACATCATAATATTCAATTAGAGCATAAAACTAAAATAAGCACAATATATATTATACATTTATGATAAAACACAAACATCTCAAGTAAAGCACATACTGAATATAAATCTTGAAACCTTTCCATATTTTTCTTCCTTTTTTCCCTCCCCTCTTCTAACATCCTTCTTTGTTTTTCTAATTACTTCTCAACATTCTCAATATTTTGTCTTTGTGCATTAAATTCTGGGCTTTCGGTACTTTTTCTTTGAGACCCAAAGATTGACCTCAAGCCGACATCTTCTCCAACATCAGGGACACGCCCACCATGCTCATTTGTTTCGATAGCTTCTACTAATATGTCATGTCGTGCTTCTGGAACAAATGTGCCTTCACGGGCCGCCTCAACCAACTAATCCTACACAACATGAGCAACTTACATATATTGTTACAAACGCATTTAAATAACAAATAACACAAGCAAAAAAATCATACTTACAATTTTCTCAGCAACTACTCTTGACGCCTCAGAGGTGTACTCTTCATTTTCTCTTAATCGAACCATCTTTCATTTCTCATGTCTTTACAGCGGAGATGGGATGCGATCATCTCTTGTTTCTGGTTGTTTTTCAAGCATGATTATTTTCTCAAGTTTCCTGTAACTCCCACAAGACAATCTATTGGGGTACATATTCTTTGCCTTGTTTTATATTTCTACTTCTCTTTTAACTTGTTATTAACATAGTGAAAAATATATATGATTAGTATCTATAAATCATTAGTATAACATTATCGGTTACATAAGACTAGTACTAACCTTGAATTCCTCAAAACGATGTATCTTCGCAAACTTGTTTCATTACTTCTTCGATATAAAACTATATTGAATCTACGGACGAGCAAGATCGCTCTTACGCTTCCTAATGTAGTCAGCCGTGAGCTGTGACTAAAATCCCCTCCAACAAGTACCGGCATAAGATACCCACTTTTTTTTTCCAACTTTGAATCATCAGTAAACTCAAAACTCAACTACATTTAAATCAATATATAATTATGTATTATAAATTATAGGTAGTGATATAGAATATATGAAAATTATAGTATGTAATACCTTAACATCTGTCCATATGCTTTCTTTGACTTTATCGTCCACTTGTTTCCAATCATCTGTCAGTATACTGACTTTGCTACGTGCAAGGAACGCAACATAACTCTTAAAAGTAGAGTAATGTTTATAATTCACTACTCTGTAGAACGAATCAAACTCGATCAAAATTTTTTCACCTGATGAGTTGCGACTGATGTGAATAGGGGCATCATTGTGACACCTCTTTGTGATCTTTTCGATTGAGTATTATTTGTTTGAGTTTCATTCACACAAGTCTCATTTGTTTGAGTTTCTTCGCTAGTATCTGATGTAGAACTCGATAAGGTCGACATCTATGTTCAAAAACAACAACAACAACAACAACATGGACAACAAAAACATAAACAACAACC